CTCCTCCCTACCTCCCCAACTACACTCACCTTTACTGGCTCCATCCCCGCCTCTTTGACCTGTCTGTCTCCTCTCCACCTATCTTCTCCTCTATCCATCTTCTATCCACCTCCCCGTCTCTCCCTATTTATTTCAGAACCCCCTTCCCTTCCCCCATTTCTGAAGAAGGGTCTAGGCCCGAAACGTCAGCTTTCCTGCTCCTCTGATGCTGCTTGGCCTGCTGTGTTCATCCAGCTCTACACCTTGTTATCTCAGATTCTCCAGCATCTGCAGTTCCTACTATCTCTTGCCTCAGTGTTTCTCTGTTGTCATTCCAAGATCACCTGGCCTGCCATCCCAGAATGAAACTCCCAATTTCCAGGCCACTTTTTCTTAAATCAGACTTGCAGAGCCGAGAATTTTCCCAACTCTGTTCTCCCAGCCCAAAAATGAAATTCAAGCCTAAGTCTTTGTTAGCCTTACTAACATATCAGTTATCGGTAACAATTATTTACATGCCGTTGTTTAATATATTTTCTTCTTGAAGGGAGAAGATCATCATTTCACCTGGAGTGCCTAAAGAGACAGAAAAATCAGGGCTTGGAAGTTCCTTGCACATCTCCACTCTCTCAGAGGACAGCACTCCCACTACATTTAATTCAGCACCAGGTAACAGTAAGTTACAAATATTCACAACTACTTCTGTTTCAAAATTATACTGTACCTTTTATGAATGGCTCATAGAGACAATTGTTTTGTCTTTGAGTGTACCCCAGTATGCTATGTGCAAAGAATTGATTTGACAGCACAGTTTGGTTTACTGGTGTTTTAAATTGCTATTTTTATTGCCACCAAATGAATGAGAGTGGGTTAGTCAGGTCATATTTTTGATCAATAACAACTCCCCAGGTTACCGACTGTGGATGATTCCTCAAAATGTAATGCCATTGAGCATTAAGCAACATTCCAGTTATCAAAATATCAAGAGGGATTCCTTTTTGTTGGAAATGGTCATTCTCAGATACTTGTGTGACTTATTCATTGCCACTTATAAGCTAAAGCTGTTTTTTTTAATTATTCATTCATGGGATGTCAGGGAGAAAGTGATCAGAGTTGAAAAAGCAAGGTATTATTTAGTATTATTATTAAAAATTGAGGTTCAAAGACAACAGCGAAAGTTTAAAAAACAGGCCTGAAAACAAGCAATGCGGCAGTGGTGAGAGTTTAAAGAGTGGGAGTTTAGACTGCACATTCAAATTGCAGTGTCTGCATTCTGAAGGAAATTGACGTGTGACATACCAATCGATTACTTAACAGGAAAAATGGTGTGTGTTTTTTCTCCCCCTCTAAACAAAAAGTATTTATTCAAATTAGGAGCTGGAAAATTAAAAATATTTGAAGCCTTAAGTTATTTGAAAAACACAATAAGATGGCAGGGCAAATGGTCTGTTACATCTATGTCATGTAGAGACTGGCAGACACCGGTGTGATCCATGATGACCACATCTTTAGTAAGTATTTGCAGCTCTAGGAATTTGGGCTCGCAATTGGTGAGCTAGAGTCTGAGTTTAGGACTTTGCAAGGCATCAGGGAGGGTGATTTACCTGGACAATTTGCACTTCTGAGCCATTTTCTTCAGATTTATTCTGCGGTCTGGAGCAGGTTGCAATGACTGCAACCAAAGCAACTATGGGGATCAAGAAGGCAGAAGTGAAGGATCCTTAGTCCTTGCAGTTGTCCAGTAAGTTCAAGGTTTTTTGAATTGGCATTGATCTCCAGCCTAAAGAGCGCACCTGGGATAACATCAACCCCTGGAGCTTTGCCAGTAAAGAGTTTGATTACAATCAATTATTTTCAACAGCATGAGATAGGGTCATGAAGAGAGCAGTTGATGGCAACCTGTGCCAGCTTGTTGATGGCCTTCATCAATGACAAAGGCCATTTGAAGCTGTGAGTAAAAATTTTTCTGCAAATTTTATGAAAGAATGAGCTTTTTCTGTAAGTAGTGCTGATCTTTGGTACTGAGGATTGGTGATGAACCACTAGAATGGGGCACATAGGAAAATTTAAAGCATCCTAAAATTCCTTTTAGTCTGTGGTCTGTACAAGATCAACGTTCATCTGCTTTCTGATTCACCCAAATGTGTTGTATGCCTCCAGGCTTGCATTGGGTAGTCCTGTAGGCATCTTGCATGGATAATGATGCTTTGTTATTGCTTCAGACCTTAAGTCTCTGGAGAATGAGACCACACATACCATGCAAGATTCATGTTAGGCCCCCTTGTAAGACCCAAGATACTAACTACATGGGAATTGCCTGGGAAGTTTATACTTTCAATGGGTAATTACTTAGTGTCTGTAACCCTTCAAGAAACCTCAACACTGCATTTTCCAAGAATTCTATTTATCTTAATAAATACTTAGGAAAGGTTAGAGGATTAAAAGTTACTCTGACTCCTGGCCAACAATGTAACTGACTCTTCCCCCACCCCGCCCTGCAGCCCCACCAATCACTCAAACTGACCTTGGCATCCAACGCCACCCCATCCCAGGCCTCACAGTTATCTGACTGACCCAAACCCTTGCTCCCCACTAACAGCTGATTCTACAACCCTCCACCCATGTCTCCATGGACAACTGACCAGCTAAAACCCCAGATTCCTGAATGTACTGTCCGAACCTGGCCTACCCTGTGCACTGTCATTCACCTACCACCTATGTCCGCTTACCCACACAACACCCCACCACTCCAACCACCATTACCCCTTCGCCAACTTAACATTTGTAACCACCCACATGCCAGGGGCATGTATTCCTCACCCACTTGGTACCCTACTGCCCTACCCATCTGCCAACTACCTCTTCACTTACCTCACACACTTACTTTCTCTCAGTTCTCAGATACCTCGTCCTATTGTTTCTAAGCGGATAGCCCCCCAGCCCTGCTCAGCTCGCTTCTACCTCCATCCAAAAATCCACAAACAGGACTGTCCAGGCAGACCTATTGTTTCAGCCTGCTCCTGCCCCACAGAACTCATCTCTTCCTACTTTGACTCCATCTTCTTTCCCCTGGTCTAATCCCTGCCTATGTACATCTGTGAACAAAAACAGAAGTTGCTGGAAGCTCAGCAAGTCTGGCAGCATCTGTGAAGAAAAACATCAGAGTTAACGTTTCAGGTCTGGTGACCCTTCCTCGGAACGCTGAGGCCACCGGACCTGAAACGTTAACTCTGATTTTTTATTTACACAGATGCTGCCAGACCTGCTGAACTTCCAGCAACTTCTGTTTTTGTTTCCGATTTACAGCATCTGCAGTTCTTTCGGTTTTTCTGTCAGTAGCTAGCAAAGTTGCTTTGGGACCTTTAAACTTGATATATGGCAGCTATTGTCATAAAAGGGGGCATGGTTTCTGTGATGATCCACTCCACTGCTGCCTACATGGTTTGCTGGTCTGGACTGCTTCATTTATGTTGGTTCTTGCCCCAGACATTTGGCTGGAAATCCCCTGGAAAGATAAGTGGGCAAGTTTTTGTCTGACCTGAGTCAGAAATAGGGATTCTGACCCTCACTGGAAAATTCAAGCCAATGAGGTAAACCATTATAGAGACAAAAAAAAATTGCAGATGCTACAATCCAAGGTAGACAAACAGGAGGCTGTAAGAACACAGCAGGCCAGGCAGCATCTGGAAGAAAAGAGCAGTCAATGTTTCGGGTATTACTGCTCACCTGAAGAAGGGTAATACCCGAAACATTGACTGCTCTTTTCTTCCATTATATAGAGGCAATGTTTCTCCTCCAGTAGGTCCTGGATACCTCATTGGTTCCACTGGACCAATCTTGATGCATATGAGAGGTTGGGCCAGAAGGAGAGAGGGATCCACCGGGATTTCCGTTCCAATCTCTCTTCTTGCCCACCAACACTAATTTCACTGTCACTCCTGGTGTTTGACCAGGTATTTGCTAAAACTCGTTTCCATAGCCATATCACATTCCTCCGTGACTGCCTCCGGCTCAGACTCACCCCACGTGGATTCCAACTGAAGTTTCATCCCTCATGTTTTGAATCCTCCCAGGATCACAGATTCTCTGTGATGTTCAACGTTCCACGGACAGCTGCTCTCGTCGCCTCCTGAGATCCACACTCAGTGCCATGTGGCGCCACATGTGCACTCTCAACCTCTCTCTCCAACAGCATCACAACGTGCTGGCTCAGGGCTGCACCACTCTGCAGTTCCACTTCATCCTCCGGCCCATTCATCATGCTAACAAGAAACTTTTTCTTTTCCTTTCAGGCATCAAAGCCCACAAGATGCAACAACTCAAAAATACCCATGGCCCTCTGGAACCTACCTCTCCTCCCCTTCCCTCTGACTCTATCCCCTCCCACAACCCCCCCACCTCCTGTCGGGTATTCACCAACCCTCCTAACCTTCCGCTCAATGATGCTGAACGCTCTGTACTCAGCGAAGGCCTCAGCTTTATCCCTCTGCGTCCCCACCTTAACGAATTTCGAGCACGACATGACGCCGAACTGTTCTTCTGCCATCTTCGCCTCTATGCTCATTTCTTTAGACAAGAGTCCTCTCCCCATCCCACAGACTCCTTTGCCCAACTCCAACACTCTCCCTCCACCTGGATCCCTCCCTCCGGCCTTTTACCTGCACTCGATCTTTTCATTGAGAACTGTCAACGTGACATTAGTCGCCTCAATTTCACTGCCCCTCTTAACAAATCCAACCTATCTCCCTCTGAACTGACTGCACTCCATGCACTCAGATCTAACCCTGAGTTTGTCATCAAGCCTGCCGATAAGGGTGGTGCTGCTGTAGTCTGGCGTACTGACCTCGACCTTGCAGAGGCTGAGCGCCAGCTCTCAGATACCTCCTCCTACCTTCCCCTGGACCATGACCCCACCATGGCACATCAGGCCATTGTATCCACTACGGTTACGGATCTCATTTTATCCGGTGATCTCCCCTTCTTTGCTTCCAAGCTAATAGTCCACCAACCCTGCACAGCTCGTTTCTACCTCCTGCCAAAAATCCACAAACAGGACTGTCCAGGTAGACCCATTGTTTCAGCCTGCTCATGCCCCACAGAACTCATCTCTTCCTACCTTGACTCAGTCTTCTCCCCCCTGGTCCAATCCCTACCCACATACATCCATGATTCATCTGACGCCTTATGCCGGTTTCAAAGCTTCCAGTTTACCGGCTCCAGCCACCTCCTCTTTACCATGGATATGCAATCCCTTTACACATCCATTCCCCACCAGGAGAGTCTTAGGGCTCTCCACTTTTTCCTGGTCTACCACCACCACCGCCACCGCCACCACCACCCTCCTCCACATGGCCGACCTTGTCCTCACCCTCAACAACTTCTCTTTCAACTCCTCATTTTCGTCAGGTAAGAGGGGTTGCCATGGGTATCCGCATGGGCCCTAGTTATGCCGGTCTCTTTGTGGGGTACGTGAAACATTCCTTGCTCCAGTCCTATTCCAGCCCCCACCCACAACTCTTTCTCCGATACATTGATGATATCATCAGTGCTGCTTCCCTCTCTCGTCTGGAATTGGAAAACTTCATCAATTTCGCCTCCAATTTCCACCCTGCCCTCACTTTCACCTGGTCTATCTCTGACTCCTCCCTTCCCTTCCTCAACATTTCTGT